AATAAATCGTTCCTTCTGTCTTTGTAACGTGTAATTTGACAAAGAGCAAACTAATACTTTATACATATTACTTGAACTTACCGCAGTTTCGTTTAAGGTTAAGTTAGATTATACTTGACATATTCCTTTGCAATTTCATTGAGCGATGTTGCCGGATGAATTATTTATCAAAATAAAAGTGCAAACGATGTTTATCTACTTTAAAGCTCTTCTTTTGTCTGATTTAAGGCGTTGTGAAACACTTGAGACTATATTACTTCTTTAATGTTATAATGTTCGATTTGTATTGTCTACATTTGTTCTGCAACAATACAATCTGGCTACACTACAGCCTACGAGTTGCGCGCGCATGTCATCTTTTATTGTTTTCTAACTTGTATTTATTACAATGAAGCTCTCTTTTTCTAATCATGAGAGATAGGTCTATTACCAGATATCACTGATATATTGGACAGATTAGGAGTAGGATGCAGTAATTATTTTACAACACTTGATTTGGCATCTGGATTTCATCAGATAGAAATTCATCCAGATTCGGTACCGTAAACAGCATTTAACGTAGGAAATGGTCATTACTAATTTACTCGAATGCCCTTTGGTTTAAAAATTACCCCTAACACCTTCCAAAGAGGTATGGAAAATGTTTTAGCAAGATTGCAAATTAAAATTTGTTTAGTATATATGAATGTCCGATACAAATTTATACCATTCATTCATCAAACCCTGAAGCTAAATTAACAAATTCTGATGATTAATTTCAAAAACAATTAGGAGAAATGTTAAAAGATATTCCATTGAACAATGATGAAATAATTAAAAAAATATTTCATGGACACTGAGCTAAAAGTAGATCCTAATCAAGAGAAATTAACATTAAAACCTAAAGAAAAATCGAAGATTAATATAATTTCGCAAATAATTATACTTCCAAAAGAAAAGAAAGAAATTCCAATAGAAGTAGGAGAATCTTCAAAGAAAGAAATTCCTATAGAGGTAGGAGAATCTTCAAAGACCCAAAGAAATTTAAAAAAATCTTTATCTAAACAAATGACAAATTCTGAAGATGAGCAAACAATTACAGCACCTTGAGAAGATGAACAAACCATACATATATCACAAGAAAACCCAATTTTAAATGCACCCTATAAAAAGAAACATCCAAATGTATTTAATAATCAAGTAATATTTTTGATATTCGAATAACAGTGATATTCGGAAAGAAATTGTTAAACTATTTCCCAATAAAAAGAAAATAATATTCTTTTTACCGAATGAGCCTTCTAATGAACAAATAATTAATTTGATTAAAGAATATTGTGCCACCTAATGAATCCTGTTGTCTTCATTTCCTGAATAAGACGTTAGAACTTATAATTATACGAGTATTACAAACGGCGTGCAATGCTAGCTCGTTTAAGTTATATATTTCTAATTCCTTAGTGGAAGACGCTATAGAATTTGACGAACAACAAGAAAAAATTGAGTTTTTCAATGAGACCAAAACATCCCATAGAGGAATGACAAAAAATATTTTGGCATTAAAGAAACGATGTTATTGGCCAAATATGGAAAAAGTTGTCCTAAAATATGTCAAAGCATGAGAAATATGCAACAAGACTAAATACGGAAGACAAACGTATAAGATAATATTCAAGTCAACGGCAATCAGAACAAAACCCTTCGAGCATCTTTATATAGATACATATATTAGTAATAACCAGAAAGGACATGGCACTAAATATTAGAATCCTGGTGATCGGTCGATTTTTTAAAAACTGCAGTATGTTATTCTATACCTAAAAACAAGCATTTTTGCTTATGGTCACTTCTTTGTACGAGTATGAGATGTCCCAGAAAATTGAGTCCAAAGTTTTTATATGGAATATTTTGTTTGAAGCATAAACTATGTTTATCTGATCTGTTATGTATTTTTGCAACTTATACATTAAAGACAAAATTATTTATGTAGTTAAGAACAAAAATTATTATACAAGGTGTCTCAACAATTTTATTTTAAACCAATCTATGGTTTATTTTTTTCCAAGATAGATTTTGGCATTGTCAACTTTGAAACAAACAATGCCGCTAATGCCGCTTATTGGTCGCTATTGTAAAACTGATGTCAACCTGCAGAAACACCTCATTTTCCTACCAATCAGGGTCAAGCGTTATTGTTTATGTTTCAAAGTTTTCAATGTCAAAATCTATCTTGGGAAAAAATAAAGTGTACACTCTAAAGAAAGCCAATAACCAAAATAACGGTTAAAAAAATTGAGTTCAAAGTTTTATATCAAATGTTTGATGTATCGGTTTAGTGATTTTGAATATGTATTGGTCTGTTGTATTACCAACACAGTAGGGCCAGTTTCACAAACAGCGGTAACCACAAGACACTGGTAACTACAATACATCTGTTTCATAATGTGTGTTTTAGCCAAAATCTTTGGTCAAGCTTCAGGATATTCCATGTATTCAACCCGCAAATATGAGTCCGATAACCAGTGTAGGTTATCACCAATTGTGAAACCGGGCCCATATGGCATATTTTTATATTTTTGTTGATCTATTTCTACAGTATTAAATCCAAATCGTTTCCAAGGAACAGTAGCTACTTCAAATAGTATCTGGTAATCATTGTTACAATGTTTGTGGTTGTTATTGATATTTTAGGTTATTATAGTTTTGTAGCAGTTGTTTTGGTTATTGGCTTTCTTTAGAGAGTAGTTTGGTTTAAAATATAATTTTTGAGACACCCTGTATAATAATTTTTATCCTTTAATGTATAAAGCTGGGTTCGGCTATTCAGCGCGGAGTTGGAGTGGAGTGAACAGAGCTAATGGAGTCACCCCTAATACGGTAAAAAGCAATACCCGAACGGTTGGAGTGCGAATGGAGTCACTCGGTGTGCACGGAGTGAGCAAGCCGAACCCACCTTAAGTTGCAAAATCACATAACAGATCAGTTAAACATAAAGGCCGTTTTACAGCTTGCAATTCTATCTGCAATATGCAAGAAACTTGAACGAAGGCATGCACAGAAGTGAATCAGCTGATTGTTGAATGGCATTGCATATAATCGGTTTGGTGCCATTTTTCTTGAAGGTTTTCGTGCAAGCTTGGGAATTTTTAGCAATTATGATGCTTAAAGTTGCTGCTATTGCTTTTGTCTTTTTATATCGTCTTTTAATCACTTTTTTCATTTTTGGAAAATGCAAACATCAACAACAAAAAATTAAAAACAAGAAAGTATGGTTAAGGTTAGAGAAGGAAACAAGTCTAATTGCAAGGTGTAAAACGACGTGCAAGAAATCTTGAATGCATTTTTTTTGCATGCAAAAAATTGCATTCAAGTTTTCTTGCAAGCTGTAAAACGGCCTTAAGCTTATGCTTCACAGAAAATATTTCATATAAAAACTTTGAACTCAATTTTCTGGGACATCCCATACTCGTACAAAGAAGTGACCATAAGCAGAAATGTTTGTTTTCAGGTAAAGAATAACATACTGCAGTTTTAAAAAAATCGACCGATCACCAGGGCTGGAACTCTGTAACGGATAGAGATCGTTATCCCTATCGCTATGGCACTTGCTGTCTTCTTCTCTCTTCTCGAAATCAATAGAGAGGGGACGTCAATAGAGATAGAGAAAATATCTCTATTCGTTACAGAGTCCCAGCCCAGGTTTCTAATATTTAGTGCCATGTCCTTTCTAACTATTATTTATAGTTTTTCAAAATTTAGCCAAGCATATCCAGTAACTACAAAAACAGCTGTAGAAATTACCACACAACTATTAAAGTATTTTAGCGACCATAGAATTCCAAAGAGATCAGATAATGGAGCGAAATCTATCATCACAGATTTATGTAAATTGTATAATATCGAATTTCACTATACAACTCCGCGGAATCCTAATTCAAATAGTCCTATAGAAAGACTACACTCAACATTGCGAGAGAGTATAACAAGTTTAAAATTACAAAATCCTAATAAAAACCTAATTGATCTTATGATACTTGCTAGACTTAATTATAACAACAGTACGCATAGTGTAACAGAATATACGCCTTTTCAAATCATCAAAGGAAATTTGAATTACGCAATGCCAATCGAGCAGTCCCCAAATAGTTTGACTACTGATTATGTCACTAATTTGGCAGAGTCTCTAGAAAAATTAAATAATGAGATTCAAAATAAATTATTGATAAAACAAGATAAGATTTTTGAAAAACGTAACAAGAATAGAGGAAAAGAACCCGACTTAGAAAGTCTCATTTTTATTAAACAATTTAATAGAGATAAAATAAGCTCACACGTTATGATATTAATATAAAACCGCGCTTTAGCAAACAAAATGTAAAGCGACAATAATATCACGTTTTAGGTACCAGAATGAAACTAATCTTAGTCATCATTGTTATGGGAATCGCCCAAGAAACATACAGGACGATAACTTTGGAAAATCCAATACTCCCTATTTCCTTAGGAATAGCTTACATGACTAATCAACACAACACAACTTATTACCTCATAAATACGACAATAATATTACAAAGTATACAAAAGTTAGAATCGGTATTACCCAAACTAACAAAAATACTAAATGACACAACTTGGTCGAAACGCTTTTCGACACTGTTTCAAACAAATATTGAAACTAGTAAGTTTCAAATTAAGCTCATGAAACAAACAATAATAAAGACTCTTAATTAATAATGAAAGAAATAAGAGAGGATTACTAAACTTCATGGGAACAGCACAAAAGTGGCTTTATGGCACCTTAGATGCAGAAGACGATTCGTTCATTCAAACGTTAAATGAGAATCAGCAAACCCTTGAAAATAATTTAAGTCAATCCCAAGTTCTTAACCCACAACTTCTCTCTACGATAATTAATTATAATATATTACAAACACTTATATTTTTCAACAAATTGATATAAATTGCTTAACTAAAATAAACTAGGACCATTTTAACAAAATTTTGTGTCCATATACTTTTAGCTGTAAAAAAACTGAGATCAACTCAAAAAGCCTCTAACACAACCATACGACTAATAATCAAAAAAGATTTGACAAATCTACAAGAAGAAACTGAAAGTTACAATTCATTATTTAAAGAAATGATGAAAGATATAATGAATGAACATAAAGCAACATACAAGAGAAAAATGAAAGAATATAATGAAAAACTAAAATCAAAATCCGAGGAATCAGAAAATTCGGAAACAAGTGAAATGGGAAAACCTACTTTCGATGTTGATAAAGGGAAAATTGAAAGTGAACTTAGGAGAAAGTTTCAGGAAAGTTTTCGACCTCCAGGTAAGGTTTTGCTTCTTTATTATTATTTGTCGGCTTATGTGTATAATATAATTTTCTAAGGGGAACCCAAAGTAATTCTCTACCTAAACTACGACCAAGAAATAACCAACGCCCCCAACGATCAAGAAAACGATAGACGTAAAGTTGCGTCGACCACAAAATTTACGTTGAAAATTCTTTGCAATAATATACCAGTTTGCAAGTCCAGATCCGTGAGTTTGGATGAGAACTTTTCCTTGGACATAAACGAAATGTTTTCCGTTCAATTAACTGACGTGCCCCGGTTTTTGGATTTGGAGGTTTATGAACATCCCAAAGGGTGAGTCACACATTATTTATTTTCAATTCTGATGTATACTAAATTCACAATTTAAATTTGTCCAACAATAATATCTAGCATTTCAATGTTGATTTTAGGCTTCTCAAAAAGAAAATCGCTGATTTAAGAATCGAAATCCCCATAACTACGGCCCTTTACACTAACGCGGAATTCGCAGAGACTCGTTTCGAACGAAGAGAAATCGTCCATTATAAACATTCAGGTGTAGGCAGTGGCTACAGCCTAACAAAAATCATAGAAGACAACAATGTAGATTTTGACATTAAGGAGCTAGATTTGAGCAATCGGGAGCTATACACCAAAGGCTTGTTGGATTATAAAATAGGATGGCAAGGTTGTGAATTGAAAAATACCCAGACGAGAAGTGATAACGTGTCACTTATCAGAGAAATGTCAGAAATTATTAATAAATGGGGAAGTGTGGACGAGGAACGGTTAGAACATTGGTTAGAAGGTGAGGAATTTTTTTTTATACCTAATCTAATAAAACAAATTATGACACACCAGCGCCCAGTTTTCGCTAGTGTAGCAAAACGCCCCAAGTACTCTATGTAATTAGTTAGATGGTAAATGGCAAGCGGTATATTGATGGTGTTTATTTCCTTGGAGCTGCTACCTATAAAATTGTGAAAGGGTCTATTTGCAAGAGAGAGAAACAAACTATTGAGGTTTACTAAATTATATTTTATTATACATAAAACCAAAAATTTTAAATCAGCAAAATATCTTCCAATTCTGACTGCCTCATCTATTTTTCTATAAATTCAATTACTTCACATCCGTTCAAAATGTCATTATCACGGACCACTGAAATATCCATACAAATAAAGAAACGCCCTATTCCTACTATTCCTAATAACTTATAAGTTAACTCATTAATTAATATCAAACTACCCTTCACCTATTTCTATAAATTCTTTAAAATTTCTTAGTCCTTTACTGACTGCTTATGAAAAACCCAAAACAATTACCTATTTGTTTATTAATATAGGTATTACTAACTTATTCTTATTAAACCTTACAATAATTTCTACATGAAATTTAAAAACCCTAATTCAAAATTCATTTCATAGACAATAAGTTTCCTTTAACAACTTTCCAATATTTTAAGACAACAATTCTATTTCATGAACATCAAGTTTCTTTTCAAAATTTCCTGTTCCATTTAATAGTTTATTTAATCAGAACAAATTCTATTGTCGGATTCCTAGCCTAGCTAATAAACCCAATTGTTTAATTCATAATTCCTACTCAAAATTGTATATTGCTAAGTGCATTATAAATTACCTTCATATTTTCTTTGCACAATTAAGTTAGAATGTCATTATATTTGAAGGCAATTAAAGTTATGGAATAATGTTCCATCGTCAAAACACTCGAGTTATTAATATTTATGCGATAAAGTTCCAAAGTTAATTATAAAGTCAAAAAGTTTTTCTAGTAAAAATTACTCAAGTTTTTAGGCATTAAAAGTCATTGTTAATTCACTTCTCATCATTCAGAATCATTGATAAAAGTCAGAAAGTTTTACTAGTCAAAATCACTCAAAATTTTAGGCATTAAAATTCAAAGTTTAATCACATAAAGTCATGTTCATCATTTATTTTCAAAATAAATCTTGTCACTATAGAGTACTTACATTTTGTCCATAAAACTCAAAACTAATCTAATTTAATTCTTTTGATTACTTAGAGCCCGCACATAAGTTGAATTTCAAATGTTCTTACTTTCACAATTTTCCGTACTTTTTCTAAGTTGAATTAAGCCCGAGGCCATACGCCATCAAAGAAACTTTTCGCGAAACCTGACAGACACTAGGTACTGTAGACTCAAACTGGACTAGACTGCTAACAACTGGCAACTCAACTGACAACTGCCTTCCTTCTCTAAAACTGCGGTATTTATGTTTAATCGATCCCCCCAAATTTATCTGTCCATGACAATTAGGATGATGCAATTTCCTTGAAATTTTTATCATTTTTTAGTTTAAAAATTGAATAATTATGTCGCAATATCCTGATTTATCGGGGTCAAATACATTGGTTCGAGAATGCCATAAATAATTCGATTTAATTATTTGGCCTCGCTTAAAAAAGTTCATTGATCGGATGTTAGGATGACATCACGCTGGGGAAATAACCAATGACCTATTAACACAGATAGACGGAACAATAAACAATAACATCGGTTGACTACATGCCAGGAACCGCATCTCTCCCCACTACTTATTAATCCTTGTTTTATTTTGTATCTTTCTCTAACACGTGGAAAGCGATTATTTTTCAATGAAAATTAGCAACGCTGCAAAAAAATAAATCCCACCTCGAATTCCACCTTTCCACCAATCAGCGGCTTCTATTCAATTGTCATGTCAAAATGCGACGAGCAGGTATTTTATGACAATTTCCATTTGTCAATCAGTGCGCAGTGAGTGTATCCGCATCTTTTTCTAAAATTATGTAAAATATAAGGAGAAAGATACACTTTTGTAGCACTGATTCTGGTTTCATTTTCAGAGTTGCCAAGTATGCGATAGTAAAATGGGGGCGGAGTTAGTGGAATCATTTGAATCCCTACTCCTAGCCGCTTTCACACCTCACCCCCCCTGGCCCATAAACATGTAGTCAACCAAAACAAAGCTATTTTATCAATGGGATGTTCTGTCTATCTGTGTTAATAGGTCATTGGAAATAACATAATTTCGAATGTATTTGGGGTCACATTAATTTGTTCCATTTTTAATTTATCGATACTGATTTGGAAATAACGAAAATTCAGTTTTTGATTATTTGATATTATTTAATTTTTACAGGAAAAACATTGTGATTTACGGGTCTAATTTCTGGATCATTACACTAGATTCATAACAAAGAATGAGTACTCAGTTTGCCATGAATTGAGTCTCATATTTAGGAGATGTAATTTTATTTAATTTTGCTACAAAGCCATCGATTTCCATACTTACTGGGAAAATGTCTTCTGTGCCTTCTTTAAATTTAATCAGTTCCAATGTTTTTAGGAAAAAGCTTGAACTTAAATGACCTGAGTAAAGTGGGGTTGATTGAATTTTTGGACTCCATAAATATAAGGGAAATTCGCGAATGGAAAAAAGAAAACAAATATTTCAGGTAGGTATTACAAATACAGTCATGTTCGATAAAGAGTTGTTCAGACGTGTAATATTCCTCTCATTGTATTGTTGTTAAGTAGATATGGCTTTTATTGATTAGTCAATGACAATAGTACTGTACGACACTCTCTTTTGAACATTCTCGAAACTGTAATGTAAGTAAAATTTTTGAAGTTAAATTTCCAGGCTAAGTCCTTATGCAGACGAATTAGAATTCTGTAAAATCGAAGATATCCAGAAAAACATCAGATTCCAATACTTAAAGCTACGAGATCAAAAAGAGCTCGAATTTGATGGCACATTGATACCCAATAGGATAAGAGAGATTAATTTTGGGCTTCTGAACGATTTGAAAAAGCGAAAAGCCTTGGAAGGTATTTCTTTTCTATTCGAAATAATATTGATAATGACGACAATTTCTTTCAAAAGCAATTCAAGATGACGAATTCGAAGAAGACCCAGACAGTCTTCGAGATACTGGAAGAAGACGTCTGAAACAAATCTACACGAAGATTTTTAACAAGTGCAAAAGTCTGGACAATAATTTGAGCTACGAGAGCGTGGTGGACGAGAAATATTTAATACATTTTGAGTAAGTAGGTATACACTCTACTATGCGTATATTGGTAGATTTCTCAGTATCATGAAAATATCACGTTATTTATTTCCGGCTCATGGTATCAATTCTAAATTTGGACCGTATAAGCACATTTTTATTCTATAATTTTTTTTTTATATGTTTGTCCAAAATTTTGAATGATCTGGTTAACTGTCTCTTTGACCTTTTGGCGTCTTTTCCCGATTTTCAGATGCAACCTGCATGAAGTGTTTTTTATAGCTTTTGTACTTATCCAGTTTTCTAAATTGATCATGGGATTTTCATAGAAATGTTCTCTTCAGTCTTCAACAGTTCAGGATTTGAATTATCTCGTGGACTTTATGAAGTCTTTTCCGGATCTGTATATTTGGAAGAACTTGTTAAGGCAGTCGTAGAAACTTTATTTGAGTCTTTATCCTCTAAAAATTTCTACTCTGAAAATTTCTCCTCTGAGATGTCATAGTCTGAATCCATCTCGCTACTGCTCTGACAGGCGGCGTTAACCGGCTTCATCAACTGAACTGGAATTTTACTTCCTTTTTGATAAGGGTGGTCGCAGGACAGCTAATCTGTACAAATGCAGAAATTATCGAAACGGGTCGTATACCAGCACCAGCAACTAGCAGCACTTATCTCGTGTCCTAAATAATCAATTTGTTCTTTGAAGAAATTACATTTCGACAGCCGCAAAGTGACATCTGCGTTTCGGAAGGTTTTAAGAGCAACTAATCCAGACGCAATACTAGGAGAAAGAACCAAGATATCGTCCATGCATGCTAAGGCAGTAGAAAATCTCATGGAGCCTAGCCCTAGGATCTGGTTGAAACACCGCAACTCTACTTACATTTAACAATAATATATTACATTTAACAATAATATATTTACTGTTGGCCACACCTAATTACATGGAAATCTTATTGATCGAAGGAATTTACTTTAATTATGAACAATTAATAAAAAAAGCTCGAATATTTTCGCGCTGTTATTTCACGTCGTGCTTCTTCTCTCGGTTAATTCGACAACTCTTTCACGCCGAAGTTCTGTCTTTCTGGACACAGGATTCTCAATTCTCGATTACTACTTGTTTCTTGATTACTCAACCGACACTGCAGGTCTTTCATGCCGTAGTTCTGTCCGTTTACTCGCTCTTTCTCGAACACTGTATTCTTGAATACTGATTTTCTCCTGCCAAAGTTGCCTTTTTATATCATTGGTCCCTCCATTGTCTTGAATTTCTTTATTTTTTCTGACCTCGATTTTTCGTGGTTGAATCATCCGATCAATTAGTGTATTTGGTCCCCTTTTAATTAATTATCAAGGGCGTCGCTAAGTGGTTTGTTAAGTGGGTATCATCATATAGGCTCGTGCATGATTTATTGATCCTTTTAGAAATTTTTCGGCTCTTTGGAATGTTAATTGTTGAAAGCACTTAAAAAAAAAGGTCCATGAACTTTTGCTTTATTCACATTCCAATAATGTATTAGCGTATTAGTCAATATAGGGTATCGGCTTTCAATATTTCTGGATATCGATGTTCAGATAAATTTTAATTGAAGTTTCTGGTTGTGCTGTCTAAGTGATGATCTCTCGATCCTGGGATGGTCGTTTGGTAAGTCCTTGTTATTCTTGACTAAAATTTCTGTAGTCACTACAAACGAGCACAAAAGAAACTGCAGACCAGGACAATCGGAAAAATTGGCAATAGCGGAACATGCGCTTAGTGAAGGGAATCACGAAATATTATTTGTTGAGGTCAAGCTTCTTGCACCGACTGCCGGATACCACAATCTTGTATGTACGTGAAGCTATAAAAATCCATAAACATACGCAGAGTTTCAACAGGAAAAAAGAAACACTAAAACTCAACCAAATTTGAAGCCCGATCCTCAAAAACGTAAGAAAGATCCCATTGAGTACAGAGAAAATTCAGATTAGCCACGTGCTGCGAAGTCCCGCTCCTCCCCCAACACAACCACTCACACATAAATACAAATTATGGTCGGGAACGCGTCAGTCTGCTACCAGAATCGGACATGGAAGCATCTCTAAGATGCTAGCCACGCGTGCTAGCGAAACGTCGCAGGAAGAAATTTCAGCTTCCGAGGACCATTAAGCCCTAGTGAAAACACTTTATCAATAAACCTGGGCCGTGAAAGCCTCACAAAACTTTATTAATTTTGGGTACGTCAGTTAAACCACTGCTAAAAAGTCTAACAGTTCCTTATCGCATCAATTTTATTCAGTATTGACTTACCAATTAAAACTGGCATATTCTGCGATTTATCGGGCACAATATAAACTAAAGTTTTAACTTCAAATAAATCTACTCAGATTCGTTTTGCAATTTGAGGCTAGATGCCCTACTTATTTGCAAATTGAACATTTCTTTTTAGGCTTGGGACAATCCCTTAAATATAATATGTCCATGATCTTTGCAATTAAAATACTTTTTGACTTAGGTATGCCAGACTTCTTCGCGTGTTCATAACGACTCTTTTGCTATTCGTCTCTTGACTGATGCTGGCACCGAAAATTAAGAAGAAAGATACCAACGGTAGGTCTTCTGCTGTAACATAGGTATATGCCCACTTTTGCTCCAGATTGTATTGAAGTATTGGGAATACCATCTATAATGATCGCTACTGCATTTGTTCCACTTATTTTGCACTGTCAGAGAAGCAACATAATTTTACCAAAATAATATTCTGTTCATGATTCTTCGGAAATCTTTTTACGCTCTATCATATTCTTAAGCGCAGAGAAAAATCTCACTTACACTCCGTCCATAAGATTTTGTAGTTGTCAAGGCCTCCATACAAATCTCTAGCTAAACCTTGTAAAGATGTTTGCATATTATGAAAAATGTTCAAATTTTCGTCTCAATTATTTATTTGTCCAAGTTGGTCTATCTTATCATCCAACTATTTGCTACAGCTTATTTTTCTGGCACATGGATTAAATTCTGGTATACACTTGGAATTAATTTGTATCTTACCGCAATTTCCGCCGCATTCTTATAAATGATTGACCAAACCTTCCAGTTGTCGAATTCGTCTCTGCGAATCACTTTCAGGCATGGTAATTGAACGTACTTTTAGATGATGCAACTTTCGCATCTGTAACCTGTTCAATTATTTCTTTTAGACCTTGTTGTTGCGCTTGTCTGTTCAATCCAGTTCCTTTTAACTGTGAACGTTCGTTAACGAAAAGAGGAAGAGTTGAATTTTTCAACCCAGGCGCTTGAGGAGCATTCACTGAATTTTTATCATGCATAAAAGACCTGTAAATAGAACTTGCATGAATTATTTTTCTCAAACCATGTCTTCTTATCTGGTTAATTGAACGACCCTGAAAGCTCTGCCTCAAAACTGTGAGAAAATCCCCAATCGTATGGCGAAACTTTAGGCGCGAAAAGGGAATGGTTCTTCAAGAGGATTAAATTCAAGAGTTATAAGCTCTTTTGAATTTGGAATATTTCAATGACTATCGTTCAACTGATCACATATTGCTTTTTTTTTGCGATAAAACGAAACTTATTTTGACTGTAAAGAAGCAAATATCCTTTGGTAGTGAACTAAAGTGAAACGCATTTGGTTACTCAGTTTTCAAAAATTTTATTTTTATCTACTATTGCTTAACATAGTATTTGGTCGACAAAACTTATATATACATTCAAGTTTCCTTCTTTTGCATTTACTTATTATTCATAACAAAAATTAATAAAACAATAAATAAATATAGGCACAACATTTTCCTCAATCGACGGCTTAATAATATGCACCTTCTCTACGTTTATCCCTGATACATCCTGCTAAGCAAAGGGCTAGGATTGCTCCACAAACCTAATATAAAAAAAAATAAAAATTAGAAACATTATTACATCAAGAAATATTTCTTACCTCAACCAGGGAAACCACCAAAGCAACGACTCCAATCAACTTGACAGAACCAGAAATGAATTCTGGAAAAACGTTGCTACATCCTTTGGGATAAACGACTTGGGTGGACGAATCGTAACAACTTTTTGGAGGATCCATACTTTGGCCAGTCCAATAAGCTGGTCCAGTAGTACCACAACAATGAAACTGTAAAATATATTAGAAGATCTGTTACTGAGATTTGAAGGTTAATTTTTCTGGTGCTGACAAGGATGCTTTCCTGAAATTTCACTCTATTTCTCTTTAACAACCTTATTTTTTTCTTTTAGCAAGTGTCTTTTTTCTAATTGGAAAAAAAACACCAAGTGAGTTCGTTTTGGTTTTATCGCAAATTCTAAAGAATTAATTCAATTAATAATTAACAGATTTCAATAAAATTTTACTCGCTTTAGGGATTTAATCATTTAATCTTATTTTATTTATGTTTTATTGATTTTTTTTAATTGGCAATATTAACTCTATGTAATTTAGTAAATATGACTCAGAGTATTGTTTCAAATTGTTCCAAGTACTTAGAGATTTAATAATCCTATTTTTGACAAATTACCAAGAGTTTTTACTTTCTCATTGCTGTATTTGTCGTTGCCAAGTTTTTTAGGAAGTTATCTCAACTTCAATTTTTCCCAAATATCTCAGTCTCTCAAGTTTTATGATGCGATATGAAGTTATTTGAGAACATCCGAGTCGCAAATTAGTGCCTGCGTTACAAATTTACTTACGTTAGTTTGAATAAGATCAATCACTTCCATAGTTTCTTTTTGGCTATGTTTGCCAAACAGTACCGACAATTGTTGCTGAATTTTCGATTCCAAATCGCTCCTATCTTTGATTTTGATCAAAGCGAAGATTCCTAAGGCTATTTGAGCGACGAAGATGATAATCAAAATTGCACCATACTAGAAAACCCTTGGATAAAAATTGTTTGATTTACTTAATTGTTCTCTTACCCAACTAAGCATACAGGTGTCGCTTTTTAACGTGCCGCAGCATCCCAAAAATGCGATGAAAAATATAATGGCTCCCACTATAATGGCTATAGTCGGAATGTATTGTAGGGCGTCGTAATCTGCAGGGATGGTGTCGGTGTATTTTGTGAAATTTACTTTGTAGAGAATTCCAATTACTAGGAGGGCCAAACCAACAAGCTACAATGTAAAAGAAAAAAATATTTAAATTTTGGGCTTACCTATCTACTAAAGTCCGTTCATAGAGTCTACAGACTTATTCTAGTGCGTGAGCTAGAATTTTGGACGCTGGTTGGCTAGATTTTGGGGCCTCACTAGGGCGTTGTGGTAATCGTGTTACAAAAATATTACATAAATACATTGACTACTAAAAACTACTAAAATAAAACTGAACCAAAGATTGTTCAATACCAGATCTCTAGATCCAAATTTTAAATGTATATTTAAATCACTATACTATTTAAGAAGTCATACAAAAATTTGACCATCAGGGAAAAACTTCACGAAAGTATATGAAACAAGTCCTGAAAAGATTTGCGATTTATATTTACTACTCAACACAAAGTCAAGCAAAGTTATAGAAAGTTCACCTCTTATGGGTTTTTGTTATTCTGCCAAACTCAATTTTTTTTTGTTGATGTTGATAAAAAGTTCTCATCAGGCCAACTCAATCCTGTAACTAATTCTCAATATAGGTATAGGTAGTTTAATGTCTAAGAAATGCACACATTTATCATAATAATAGGTGATCACTCGATTACACGTTTTCTGATGACTATATAAACTAATTCTGGAGCTTCACACTCTTCCACAGTCTTGGCACACCCAGCCTCTGGCAGCATTTTCATTTCCTCTGTTCTCTCGCTGCTTCCTGCGGTCTCTCTTTTCAGTTTCGTGTCTGCATCGCTGTTCTTCAACATTTTGTGGTCGGTCGTGGACGCCATATCAGGGCCTATCATTTGCTGTCGTCACCCAGTTATCCAGCTGCTGGTTTCGATGCGGCACTTTGCCATGTTTTCCTTAAGAACATCTTTGTATTAGCTTTTCTGTTGACCTACTTGATTTCGTTTTCCCTCTCCCAGTTGACTGTAAGGAATCTGTCGTGGAAGACGTGTATTTTCAAAAATTTGAGACAATATTCAAATCAAATTCGGTTGAGAAACGATGATGTCATGAACCTAATTCATTAAATGTTTCCTAATGTCATGGCAAAGAATGAGAGCAAAAGGAATTAAAATGCAAGGAGAAAGGAAAAAAAGAAATGAAAATATATTCATGGGTACTACCATCTGAAAAATCACTTTCCAAGAAGATAAGGACTATGGGATGGCTACAGATGAAAAGGAAAATTTGAACGTAAGCGTTGTTGAATGGCATAGAAGATTGGGACATGCACCAGTAAGTCTCTTCAATGAAATTGAGAAGTCAGATGCTGAAACACATTCATATCCTACCTGAAGACAGACCTATCATAGACTGTAAAGCATGCATAAAATCCAAAACGACGAGAACTATTTCCAGAAAAGAAGGCAACACCTGTGAAAGAGTATTGGAAAAGGTTAATTCGGATGTTGCGTTTATCGATGAATACTCACGATATACAGAGATAGTTTTTGTAATATCTCGAAATCAGAGCCAAATAGAAAAAAAAACTGAGAACGTCACTGAATTCTGCTTAAAAAAGTGCTTCAAGAAAGTCTTTACGGAAATCAATTATTTTCATAAACAAAAAAGTTATGATGGTTTCACAGAATAGACCTATCTATTTTTACCTGTATGCGCGCGCAACACGAGGCAATGCATTTTTATTGGCTAACTAGTATAGGTGAGAGGTGTTCGTTTTGCACGCTGGGCATCTCCTTGTCCTTGTTCATTGCCCGTGGTCTGACAAGGATCAGAATTATGGTTGATTAATAACTTGACGTAGCTTGACAAGTAATCGATTTTCAATTGTTTGTGTTTTTGATTGACAAATACGTTGCACGTCACGCGGTTATCCACCTTCCTTTTTTATCCCGTGCAAATAATAAAAAGGGATTGCTATACATAAGTCTAACATGGTTTGGTACGTTTTGCCTCGTCTTGCGCAATAAGCGTTCTGCGTCTTTTTCTATCTAATAAAGTTTTCGTATTAGTATCTCTTTGTCTGGTAAAATAGATAGGTCTATTGCTCAAAATTGAAATTGCCCTCTAGCGGCTAAACAGTTGTAGATATCAAAATGCGGTTCGCACCAATCTAGATTTCATGAAATTTGAGCCTCAGAGTAGGGGGTCCATTTTTTTTCTATCTCTAAAAATGAAGGGCACTCCCATGAGAAAGTGTCCAGTTTGGACCACCCTGTACATAATGATATGATTGCTAAACATCTAGACATCATAATAGCATTTCTCAAGGGTGATGTTCAAATGTTCAAATTCAGATGAAAGTCCCAGAACGTGTTGACGGTCAGCCAGCGAGAGTTTGTTATTTGAAAAAAAGTATATACAATTTGAAACAGTTTCCAAATTATAGAATCATAAATTGTTCAGTGTTTTGGAAAAAATGAACCTGAAACAATCCATAGCTGATCCATGTATGTTTCTGTCACAAGATGGAAGACAGATAGTTGCAGTCTATGTGGATGATTTATGTATACTAGGCAAAACTGAGAAAGATCTGCAACAATTTTCAAGTCACTTACCTAAGTAAACCAAAATGTTTATTATTGCTACAAATTCTATGGAAACCTTTATGTGGGGAAAAGTTTTGCAAAAATATGACATGGTGAACAGTAAGACGGTCTCTGTGCCAATGAATCCTGGTACCAATGCTCCAAAAACAAGAGAAAAAGAAGAAATCATCATCTATATCAGTAAAAGATTGGAAATTTTCAACTGGACATTTCGAGTGGAAATTTTATTGGAAAAAAAAGAACACATCCAGGACTGATTACAAAAATATGACAGCAGATGAGAAGAAAAAAATTGATAAAACTGACACGAAAGTTAAATGTTTGTTAGTACAGTGTGTGACATGATGATGAACATTTAGAATATGGGGATATGAGCATGGGTTTTTATAAGAATATGCCCCAGTGAGCCAAGGTAGGTGTCACACTGGCAACCTAGTCTGCCTAGTGGTAAAACCGGCGCTGTGTACAAGAATATTTCATGCAAATAGAAAGTTTAGGTACTCAGGGAATTTGAGGGTATAGAAGCTACTCTAAAAGAAAATGATAAGGTATGCTACCAAACTATACCAAAAAAATATGAAACTGTAATAACAGCCACTGAAATAATCCATAGCAATTAAGATGTATTTGTTGCCACTCAAGACATCCCCACGCTATACTTCACGTGTTTTGGTTTCTCAACTTGCTGCGCATGTCGCATATTCTCAGCACCACATGACATCCTGGTAATAGTTCACCCAACAGAATATGTCACGGATCTTGTTTAAGGTTTTGTTGACTCCCAAGTAAGCTGGATGGTCCTTTGTGAACTTCTAAAACTTCTATGAACAACTTTTGTCCTAGACACGACCAATTGCGTGCACTCTTCCAGGTTCGTTTCGGTAAACCATTTTCGATTAGCAGGGAGTCCCATTGAGCCCACAGCGCCTTGGAATTTAATTTTCTAAGTGATATTTCATAGATTGGTTTGAATTTTTGGGATTACTCCAGATTGAAAAACGGCTGGAGGTCAATATCTTGTAATTAGTCACTTTTAAGCTGTTCGGAACTCAATTCTTGATTCGTTTCAAATCGGAGGCTTTTAATAGAAACTCCTCCACTACCTCCACGCTGGTTGATTCTTCAGTGCTTGCAATGAACTGGGCATGTTCGTGTGGATGAGGCATCTGTGTTATTATGCAGTTTTCCAGAACGGTGTTTGATCTAAAAATTGTACTGCTATAACTTCTTCAGCCATCTTGCTACCTGTCCTTCTGGTTTTTCATGTTTAGAAGCAATACGTGGTCTGTTCTAATGAGAAATTTTTGTCCATACCGGTACTTGTGGAAATGGTCAATTGCTCAGACTATTGCCTTAAGTTACTTTCTTGTAACGCAGTAATTTCTCTCGGGCTGGGTAAGCACTCTACTGTAGTATTCAGTTATCCTTTTTCCATCTTGTATCTGCGACAGGACAGCTCCAATGCCTGCTTGCTTGGGTTTTTCTCTCGTCAGCACGAATTCCTACGTGGCCAAGAAAATCAACAAGCTGTTGGAAAGAGTGAAACATTTCTTGTCATTTAATCAGAGGTCCTTGTCCCAAGTTTCACTCGACTGGCCGGGCTATATTTATGTACATAACTATTGTAATCAACTGTGCAAAAACTGGTTTTAGTAAATTCAGAGAATTTTTTCGGCGCTGGCTCTCCGTCTATTAGTAGAGACCACTTCCAGTGGAGAACGCTGTCTTTTCTTTGTCTTTTTCATCAATGCCCACCAGCCAGTATCCGCTTTTCAAATCCAATGTAGAAAATCAATTTGAGTCAGCCATGTCGTAAGGGTATCGCCAATTCTGGATGTGGGTTTCTGTCTTTCTTGTGACATCGTTGAACTTTCTGTAATCGACGCAAAATCTAGTTAGCACCAGTACAATTGGCGATGACCACGGACTTGAAGACTCTTAAGCAACTCCCTCTTCAAGCATACTACTGCTACTAATGACTCACTTCTTGTTGTTTGGTTTACTACGCTCTAATTATATAGTCGAAATTGAACTCCGGATTTATCTAAAGTCTGTTTTTTTTAAAGATAATTCCCAAGTCAAAAATTTAGTAACTATGTTGGCAACACAAGCCTTTTCATATATAATATCACAAGAGAAAAAAATTTGTCGGCAAAATTTTCGAAAGGTATGAAAGTTTGTTGCTTGGCAATTTCGCGAATGACATTTTTGACAATTATTTAATTTTATTTAAAATATCATGAGCGAAATTGCCGAAAAGCAACAAACTTGAATAAAACCTTGAGAACAATTTTGCCTACACAATTTTTTCTCGAGTGGTATTCGTCATGACTATTTCACGTAAGATTTTGAAATAAATAGAATGCAAAATTATGAATAAAAACTTCAAATTAAAAATACCAGTTTGACAATGTCAAAAGATGGTCGCTGAAATACCATGTTGTTGGTATTGTCCAGGTAGCGTTATTGTCAGGTGAATACCGAATTTATTGCTGGTGTAATACACTC